CACACACACACACACACACACACACACACGCTACAGATGACTTAACTTGCTCTTTGACTTGAATGGAAATATCCAGAGGGCCCAATCAAAGTAAAAAAAATAAAAAATAAAAAAAACCCGGAGGCTCACTAGACTGTGGGCAACATGTTGATTGATGGAACAGACAAAGAGGGTTGAGCTCTAACTGTGTTTAAGCTATTGTCAAATACTTGATTAATCAAAGGAAGGCCTTGAACCAAATAGAACAGAATGTGAAATTAAACTGAACTCAAATAAAACATTTAATTAAAAAGTGCATATGAGCAGTAGGTTTTTGGATTGGATTTTATTTGTTTTAACATGTTTCCTTTCCACTGGTCACGTTAAAGCAGTGAGACAAATGTGCATATATGTAGTATATGAAAAAAAAGAGGCCAACAGCTATGGTCGTTTTTTTTTAAAGTTAACTGAAGAGGAAAAAATGTAAACACAATAGGAAGAAAACAGCTGTCTACTGATTTATAATGAGTGCATTAATCCCAAATTGATGTATTTAACTAGGGACTTGTGTGTTTTTCAGGTTGACTGTGCAAACACATTGTTTGTGTTCTGTTTTATTGTCGCGGCTCTTGAGTAACTAAAAAGCACACACACGCAGACCCCTCACCTGAACAAACTGATCCTTTTGATCCTGCAGAGTGTCTGCAGGCATCACTGCTGGGACTTTTAGCAGATGAATATACGGTCATCGAGGCCCGCTGTTCCACATGACAGCTATAAAACTGTTTTGTCTGCATGCTTTCTCTGAAGACTGAAGCTGGCAAACATGTGACACACCCATGACGACCCACTCCAAGAGTGATGAGCCACTCCGTCAAACGACATTTAAGATCATCAGACCTTTTACAAGAAATGCATATTCTACAATACAAAGAGAAATGCAAACATAGAGACACTTCAAACTTCTGCTGTGCTACTGATGCATCCATTTGCAACAGCACGACATAAGCAAACATCTGCATATGTTATTTTTAAAGTTGTGCATTGCTGTCAGGACCTTGAAAATACTACCCATTACTGACTATTGCCTCATTACATGTCAGCAAAAGAAAACAAACTTGAAAATGAAAATGTTATGTCACGAAATCAACTTCTTTTTCTGACAGAAAATTGAAGGAGTACATGCTTCATTTGCTTAGTTAATCCACCAGCTACCATCCAACTGGATGGTACATTTCTGCCAAATTGTGAGCTGTAATTATATAAGCCTGTGTCCAGTCCTTTAAAACATTCTGTGCCGAGCTGTTTGTTCAGAAGTTAAAATAGTGCTTTCAGTGTTTTTATAGCACTTATGCATGAGTAAATATCTAAAATGTGCTGCGGTTTGTGGCTGACTTGTTCTATTTCTCTTCAGGCAAAAGACTTTATAGTTCATCTACATGACCCCTGAACGTTTTTTGAACTCTGCCTCTCAATTACTTTAGTTGCAAGGGGCTTTACTTCCTTGATTTATGTTGTGCTTTATCATTTTAAAACTTTTATTATAACTATGGTTAAAGTGCAACATGACATGTTCTTAATCAAAGAGAGGCAGAGGAATGCTCTATTTAAAGCAATATATATACTTTAATGCTACTGTTTTTAAAAGCCAGCCAATCAAACTGTTTCCAAGAAATGCTTAAAGCTTCAGGCTACACCATTTATTCCCATTATGAAAACAAAAGCCAAACACATGCTTCACTCATATGAGTCACTGCACTCATATGATGGCTACTTTGGGCAGTGAGGTCTTTAGAAACAGTGATGCTACACTAAACCTTACACTGAAAACTATAAACATACAACTGGTAGTTGTATTGCTCAAAATGTTTTGAATGAATTCCAGTGAAACTTTGTAGACGTGTAGTGCGTGTTGTCAATTTATCAACAAATACAAAGTACCATACTAATATTTCAAATATGTCATATTTGTCCTCTGACCTCTCCTTCAAAGCCAATAGACTGAGCTGAAGGTCAAAGTGATAATAAGCAAGTTTTAACTAGCTTTGCATAATGTTATACAGATTTATTACTGCCATTGTTTGTACTGAGAACATATAGGCTTATAGGCAATGATATATGGGTATTCTAAATATCACCTTATATTTTGCATCCAAATATCTTATCATATTTGACCTCTGACCTCATGTTTACATCTCACATCTAACTTTCTTTCAAGTTGAACCCACAATGTTTTATATCTTTAAAGAAAGTGTCGTCAAAACAAAGAATGAGCTGCCTAGTTAGTTTAAAATATCCTGTTGTATAATATTATATAATAAGCTAAATTATTCAGGTCCTCTTATTTATAAGTCAGTACCTTTTACCCATTACTAACCCCTGCATAATGTTTGTGTAATCACTGTAAGTATTTTTCATGCTACCCTTATCTGATTTTTACGGCTTCACAAACGTATTAAAGTATGTTTAAAAAGAACAAAGAAAAAAGAATATATACAAAATAGAGGGATTGTTAGTTTAGTTTCAATGATAACTGAAAACATAAAGTTCAGAACAGCTTTCCCACCTTGCTTTTTCACCTTTGGCAAGATCTCTAGTTACACAACACATAATAATAGCTGCCATGTGCAGTCAGGTATGTTGAGAGGGACGTCTTAAGGAGGAGCTTCTGTTACGATCCTGAACTAAAAAAAACTCGGTGAGGACGTTTTAGCAAATATTATACCAACCTCACTGTGGCAAACTTTTAAAAGTTTCTGTAACAGCTGTCAGAGAACAGACAGTACAGGCACATGTTAACATCTTGGCAGACTGCTCCATCTACGGGTATGTTTACACCACATTGATTAGTAGAGACAAGATCTTGTGTATCAGGCGCTAAAGGTCCCAATTAAATCAAAATATTTAATTGGGACCTTTAGCAATAATAAGTATGATAATAATAATCAATAAAAGTATGAGCTATCGGATAGTAAACCTGCAATTTCAAGAAGGTCAAAAAAGGAAACATATTGTTTAATAAGTAACTGACTATTAACGTCAGAGGTGAGTATTATAAACACTATTTGTGGAAATTGTGGAAAGTTGTTTGCATTTTATGCTTCTTATGTTTTTCACTGACTTTATGAATGTAGTGCTTCACGTCATCAGAAAGTCAGCGCAGTTGAGTTTTACTGAATAATCTGGCAATGATTTTGTATGCTCTCTGAAACAATTACGCATATCATTTTGTCATATGAAAAACAAAACTAAAAAAAAGTTTGCTTTAAATAATAAGTACAAACACCATTTTGTTTATTTATATTTAACTGATTATTTAAACATTTCTGTATGCAAATAACGTCCCTTTTAAACTAGGCGGAAATGACGACATAGCAAATACCCATATATAGCACTAGCCAAAACAATGCGGTTTTAATAATAGTTTTATAGTCTAACCAAGTTAACAGTGCCGTTTTTTGCAGTTACTTGCATTAAAACTTACTGTTACTGCGAAATTTCTAAAACTTACTGTTTACTTATCAATATTACATGTAAACGGATTAACTAAACCCGCCAAATAGGTCAGGCTATCAATGTGTTAAATTTACGGTAAGTAACGAGAGTTTAACTTCCGAATGAAATATTTGTATTTCAAAATAAGATTGCGTCAATGTAGCGCATCGTAGAGAACTTTGTTGGTGAAACGAATAAACCGGAAGCCGCTTGATTGCTCAACCACATACCGGCGCTTTCGCTATGCCCACGTGACGCGCGTAGACGGTAAGGTAGCTGATGCGGTTTATCTGTTAATAGTATCAATAAAGACGGGCTACAGTAATACACCAGTATACTTCATTTGTTCCTCGGGTTCTTTTACTTTTATACAAATGTAGCTTTTTCTAATGGCAAAATACATTCGGACTCCGGTCAGTAAGCCCGTAAATTCAGCTGGTAAGTAATGTTAGCTTGATTATTTTCCCGGCAAGGAATAGGTAGCTAATCAATAATGGCATAAGTAATTACGGTTTTGCCTTGATTGGTTAATTGATAAGGAGCTTGTCAGTCACCGCAGTCTCGCTGGCAAGGTCAAACTTCTACAAATAGCTAACGCAGTTCACCAAGCTGCCTTATATCAACGCTACGCACCCATCGAAGTGCAGGCACAGTGATTTTGTTTACCGTGTAATACCCCACCCACCAACCCCTCCTCTCCCGAGTGGGCATGTGGGAAAGTGGTCGCCATTGCTGACACATAGAAGTGTTACTCTGAAGGTTATGTAGAAATGCTTTAAAATAAGTAGGCGGTGTCAAACCTGACTCAATTGCATTTCTCATCTGCATGTGAGTGCGGCTGTCCGTGCCGGGCAGGTCAGCTCAGCAGCAGGGCGTGATTTTCAGGTTATTCTCCCCACCCTTCAAGTGTCGCCCTGGTAACGTTCATTTCCCCCGACCACCACAGGATGCTGACAGCCACTTGGGTGGGGCTGACGCGGATGACAGTAGACGGGAGGAAAGCTCAGGGATAAACCAAAGCGCACGGGATCAGTTTTTTTTTAAAGCAGCGCAGGGCGGCTGGTCGGTGAGAACCATGACCAAGCCGGAGTCGAAGAAAAGCGGCGTGGCTGCGGGCAAGAGCGTCGGCGAGCAGGTTAACAACGGCTCCGTGGATCCAGCGTGTCCGGATCAGAGCACAGCGATCAAAGCCAAGGTGATGAAGCAGACCTCCAGGGAGAATCTGCACCGGAGAAACACAGAGTGCGAAGTCTACGACGACGGAACCAACACCTTTTTCTGGTGAGTGTTTGTGTCGGTGTCAGTGCAAGTTCACGGCTCCTACAGAGATAGAAGGGGAGGAAGCATTTGTTAGTTGACAGCAGGGTGTAATATGTGCTTCAAGGTGAACTGAAAGACAGGCCCAGAGCGACCTCCATTAATGACAGCAGATAATGTGACCTTGCTGTAAATGCCAGGTCAAACTGAAATGTTTGTTGTTGTTTTTCCATCCTGGTGCAGCTATTCCAGTAAACATGATCCGCTAAATGTCACTTCTGGAGGTGTTGTGGGGTTTGCAGTGTTGTCATGGATGCTCACATTGCACATCCAAACTCAGGGCTCAGATATGACACTTGAGAGATTCTTTGACATTCACAACAGATCTGAAGATGTGCCAGGTATAATACCTGTCCTGCAAAGTGTAGAAATGAGCACATACTTCATTAGCCTTTCCTAACACCACATGTTTTATTTCTCACTACGTAAACAAAAGTATGTATGAGCCAACTAAAAAAGAAAAAAGCATGCACAAAGGGAATACCGCACGCATGTTGCAGGACACGGGTTTCGTTATGATATGCTATGCAGCTAGTTTGGAAAAGTGACATTCTCTTCTGCAGCCCTTTTTAATTTATAGCTACGTTAGCTTTCCAGCCTGTCACTCGAGGAATATTTAAGCTTCTCTGAGTGTCTGTGCGGTTTTCATTTCTGCTTTGTGTACAAAAAATATGGATTGAATAAGAATCTGCTAAGCTATCCAATATCATTGACAGCAGAGGAGACTGGTCCTCCCAGTGGGAACCTTAATGAGAATTTCTCATTACTGTGGTACGGCCTTGGCATCAGATTTCTGTAGTGAGGTGTTATCAGGAGCTAAAATACCTTTGTCTGTTGCAGTTATGAAAATACAAGAATCTTGTTTTTATGTGGATTAATAATCAGGGTCACTTGTCCAGAACAATATTGACAAATACATGAGGGCAGGGTTGCTGTATTAGACTGAACCTAAACCAGGTTTTACCCACTTATGTGGCAATTAAATGTGTCGGCAGTCATCCAGGTGCAGTCTTACGACGTAGCATTGTAAAGTTTAGAGTTTTACAAGGGCTTTTTAGCTGTTTGCTTTAGGGGTCAACATAACAACAGTCTGTGGGTGTTGTTGATTGCATCCTGAATTTTTGCCGTCTAGTATTACATACATGAACGCATTAAAAAAACAAGAACGGAAAGTGGTTCTTCCTGTGAGTCATTTGAATTTACATTCTGCAGTTATTTGTACGATTGAACCTTTTTTGTGGAACATTTTCAAGTGCTGACTGCAGATGATAAACCTGCATGTATGAAGCAGGTTAGGAAAAAGATGGCAGTTGTTGGTGTATTTCCAAGTGTGTAGGTGGTAGGGCACCACATGGACTCTGTCTCCCAAGGGTTCAGAGTTCATAGTAGAAAGCTGTATGGCAGCAGCTTTTGGTTAAAAATGGTATTCAGCCTGCATCACTGGCACAGGAAGGAACTGACAATGGCAAACTCTTTTTTTTTTTTTTTTTTTGGTAAAGTTTTAATATGCCTTATAAAGAACTCGGACTTATTAAATGTGATTGTGCTGCCGTTCCACTTTTATTTTCCCTTAAACTGATTTAGTGCTGAGGCATTTCAAAATAATGGCAGTTTTGTTCACACTGGTTTCGGCAAATGTTTAATTAGATGAAACTGACAAGAAGACGCATTGTATTAAATTGTTAGTTTGTCTCTGCTTGTCATTAAAGTCGAAGGCTATTTTAATCCAATTTCATCCTTAAATCTAGACTCTGATTAGTCATGAGGCTGGCATAAAGCAGAATCGTTTCTTCTGTTTTTTTTTGTTTTTTTTTTAAATCTTAACTTCAAGCTTAGAGGTGCACTTTGTTTCTAAGCTTAGCTGGTTGCTCTGTTGCACAAAACCAGTATTTCCGCTGCACCTTTCCACTCTTGGTGGTGGTGTATCGTTGTCAGCGAAGAGAGAAACCATGTCCTCCCCCTGTGGCTCCAGCCAAACAGGTTGGATAAGGAGGTGGAACAGGAAAAAGGCTGACAATACCTGGTGTGCTGTCTTGCACATCAAGCTTCAGCCAAAAGAAATGTGACTCAAAGTTGGCACTTTATTATTTTTAAAAAACTTCTTACAGAATCGCTATACCTCACTTTCAGGTACCCTTTAATTATTTTTTTCTTTTAATCTAAATTCTCAGAGCAGCACATTGCCTCTGTAGTTTTAGATTAGATACATTTATAAAGTATATGTCGCTTGGCTGTTTACCCCAAAATATTAAGGCTACTGCAGCTGGTGACCCTTTCATTAATGAGAGGGCTGGCAGGAATAAAATACACTTGCTATAATTGTTCTCCACAGGTTTAAAACTTGAGGCGTGATGGCATCTGTCGTGTAAGATGTGTTATGATTGACATTTGGTTGTCACACGGTTTTGTCTTAGCTTATTACAGATATTTAGGTATTCACATAATGGTTAAGTAACAAAAAAGGTATTGTACAAATGTTTCCTGTAAGTGCTTTGTAACTAGTACGAGTAACACTCAGATCAGTCATTGGTACACACTGTCATGTAAAGAGGTCGACACCAGTGTTGATTGTGTTGATTGTTTTCTATTTACTTAAGCTTAACAGTTCACCTACATGTTGCATGTTTGGATGCTACTTGGTGTCAGGGTATATAACCCATTACTTTGGGGTTTTAACCAACAGACAAAATGAGTTTTAAAGATATCTGGATTAGCTTTATTCCCAGAAATCCCTCCTCCCTAATGAATACTGGCTCAGTCCACCTGCAGCCTGATCAGCGTCAACATTCCAGGAGTGATAAGGAAACTCGGTGACTCTGCCACTGTTCTGAGCAGTCACCCCATTTGTCTTTCTAGAACTTATCAACTGTTATGCACTTGTCAGCATTCCAAATACCATTCAGGTCCTTTTGTCTATTTCTAATCGAGAAATCTCCCATTATATAGCGTGTATTCTCTTGACCCTGACATTATCGTAAAACTTTGCCCTGTCAGCTGAGGTAAATACCTCAGGTTGCGTGGACGTATATCTAAACAACTAGAATGTCACACCACAGAGGCCAAAGTATGTTTGCTGACATGGGGTGATGGAAGATACAGCTTGGGCCTGTAGCCAACAACATGGCTATCAAACTCCAGCTCACCTTGTCTGCCAGAGCATACAAATTCTGTTGTTTAAACAGACCTGATATAAAGCTTTTCCATCCACTGTCAGGCACAAGACATTTGATGCAAAAGCTATTTTTGACTTCAGGTTAAAGAAAGGTTTGAACTGAAGCTTATCACAAACTTTGTAACTATTTTTAGCTGTAGCAACACAGTTTCCCAACAGATTTCATCTCCTATTTTGTCCTTGATTTACCCCTATATATGCCTTTTGATATTTGGAGGCAACAAAGATGTTTTTAGCAACGAGCAGATTCCCGTTCAGATTTGTTTAGACCGTTCCAGTGTTGTAGTGTTATCTCAGTGTTTCTTAACGTTGTCTCATGGTGATGTCAGACAACATCAGCCTATCTAGGGTTTTTTTTTGGTTGTTGTTTTTTTTTTTTTTTTATGTCCTGTGCTGACTGGTATTTGACTTTCCTGTTCTACAAATGGTACTCTCGTCCTTCTCTCTGTCCTTTCCCCCACTTTCACTGCAGGCGAGCCCATACTGTCACAGTGCTGTTCATTCTGACCTGCGCTCTGGTCTACGTCACGCTGTTGGAGGAGACTCCTCAGGACACGGCCTACAACACTAAAAGGTCAGTAGGTTGCATTTCTCCTTTCCTCAGTGTCACCAAAGCCAAAACACTCCAAAACTCAGGCACCCAAAAATCTACTTTAACCCCAGGAGGCTTTTAAACTGAAGCTTCATGATATCATTTTTGCACCAGTTTATGTAGAGAGAGAGAGAGAGATTATTTTATTGGTAACTAGCATTAGGAAATTTGTGTTTGGTCATTTTGTTGTAACAATGTTTGCTGACAATGCATCTTATATTGTTTGTTTCCCCTTAAATGGTGCCACAATTTGAAGCAACAAGCATTTGTGGGTTGAGCAGCTGAGTTAAATATGCAGGTTGTGACCATGGAAATAAAACATGCCAATCTTCTCTGCCAATCCCAGACAACTTATTCTGCTACTGAATCTTGTTTTGAGTTTCTGGAAAGCCGGATGCTGCTAATCAGATGCCAATAATGGATCGTGCTACAGCGGTCTGTTGGTGTCTTCATGGCACAATTGACTGATCTGGATAGGGCCGTGCCACAAGGCAATGTCAAGGTGATGTTCTGCAAAACCAAGTCTCCTGATTATTTGGACCTAGTACCATCTCCAAAGTGAAGTTCCATATAATGCGGGATATTATATGGAACTTTACCATTGTGTCGGCCCATTGTATATTTAACAACTCATTTAAGCTTTACTCGCTGAAAGTCTTGGAAATTCAGTTCCAGCTAACCAGCTAGCTACAGCCCTTCCTACCTTGTGTTTTCCCTTCTGGCTGGGTCTTGAACTAAGTTGCTATTGTGGTCATCCTCCATGTCATTCTGCTGCTTCTGCAGAGGGCATCTCTTACATACTTTTATCTCCACCGTTATAGACTGCAACTGGCAGCAGCAGCTCTTCTTCTGTTCTGGAGATGGGCTACGAGTCAGACAGTCTAACTGGAACAGCAGCAGGTGCAGACTGCTGAGGTTTGAGTTCATCTGCTTCGTGAGGGACAGCACATTTTATTGCTCAGTTTTTTTGTCACGACACACTTGGAGAATAGATCAAATCTAAATGTGGGGGTAACGCCGCAATGCAACCAACCAACCAGTAGCTACTCTGATTTTTTTTTTTTTTTTTTTTAAAACAACATTTGGAATAAACCACTTATTTCCTATAAACATGGGCAAGGAGCAAAAGTCACCATTTGAGATGAGTCACTAGCCTTTACAGTCACACTCACCTTGAGCTTACAAGGCCATGTATAAAACCGTCTTGGCCATGAAAAGAACACTATAAATACGAGTTGAGCATTTAGCAAGTAGATTTAATGAGTTTTATTTAAACTTTGGAGAGAAATACATCCAACTTTATCATGTTTATTAAACCACAGAGACTTGGATAAATGCCAAATTATTTCAGTTTCTTTTATTACTGCAAACTACAGAAAGTTGCAGAGCGACTGCTGGAAGTTGTGCCAGCTACTTTGTGCTTCCTGGTAGGAAAAGGCAGGTAGGAGTAGGAGGTGCACTAAAGCAGTGTTCCTATGGGAATACATAAGCTGTTGCAGAACTTGTTTTTCTTGTGGCTAAAGTTTTTTTTTGGAGCTGTTGCCATGCTGCTGAATAAATATGGAAATGATCAGACCTGTCCCTGATAGTGTTTGTTATAGCTTCTTATATTTCAAACAGGGAGATTTAGTCAAGGCAAGTTTGCATGTGGCTTAAAACTCCCATTTACGTGTGTTACAGCTAAAAATCTGTGACACAAAGCAGGGTTATAGTTAGTTGTTCTTACCGGTACTTTGTACTTAGGTGTATTGAGAAGGTCAGGCATAAAACAGGCTCTATCAGTGATGTGTGTTTGCGACAGATGGGGTGATTTGTAGGTTGCATTTGTGTGGATGCTCCTTAACAGGATTTGCTGCCATCAGCGTAGTCTGGCTCTTTGGGATAAATACCCTAAGAGCTTCACCCTGGAAGCGGAGCTCACTCTCAGGCACTGCTTGGTTACTCCTCAACTCCCAGTCAACCCTGCAATCCGGGACCACTCTCACTAGTTCACACACAACTTCACTTTGTGTGTTGTATTCTTTGAACACACATTCATTTGATTCCAGACTCAAACAGCGAAGAAATTGATCCCTAAATCTCACATGCTCATGCTCCTACGCTTGTTGGCTAGCACACACTGTAATCCCATTGTATGCTCAGTCTTTTAAGCCTGCTCTGTTTACTTGTAAGGTCAGGACAGGGTCCTCGTCTGGTCATCCAGTTTTCAGAGCTTAAATCAACAGCAACTTAAGCTCAACTTGGCTGGTCTTAGCTGGTTCTTAATAAACACAAATGAAGTTGTAATATTGAAATAGAAGCAGTAGACCAGACCTCCAGATTCAAGTTATTTAATTATTAATTCTCCAAGCCATTATGCTCCCATTCATGCCTTGTCTGATTGATCTGACATCACAGATCTTAAAGGTTTACGGGGTTGAAATGCTGAGACTTGTATGTGTAGCTGTAATAAAAGCCTTCCGGCCCCTTTGAAATGCATACTGATTTTAATTGAAGTTACAGTAATGGACAAACACAATTTGACTGAGCTAATAAACACAAACAGGTGAACTTCATGTCTTTATTGAACACGCTGGGTGAACATGTTGAGCCATCGCCCTTAGATGTGTCCTGTAGCTACTTCTGAGACTTGAACAGTGATGTGGTGGAATTGTAGGCCATTCTTCCTACAATGCTGTGAGTTCATCAATATTTCTGATTGCTTTAAAAAGCCTATTTAAGGCATTGCCTGACATCTCAATTGGGTTAAGGACAAGATTTAATTTTTCTCACATACTAATTTGTTTTGGGTAAACACTTACTATCCTTTTGTTTTTCCTTCAGACACAGAGCTGGACCCTTTTTGTTACACAGGACAAACAGTTTTTTCTGTTTACCCACATTCCAGTCTGATATCTGTAATTTGAATGTTGGATTCCAGGTTTTTGGAGAAGTAGTTCGCATAGAGGTTCACTTTTTTCCTAGTGTAAAGACATGAAAATAGGCTGTTTGTTTGTTGGTGGTTCAGTAAGAACATGTATGAGGAATCGATACAGAAGTCTTTGTGATTCCAATGAATTCCCAAATGTGTGTCCTCTAGGGGTATTGTGGCCAGCATCCTGGTGTTCCTCTGTTTTGGAGTGACACAGGCCAAAGATGGACCTTTCACCAGACCGCATCCAGGTATGAAAAGCACATTTATCACCAGGTTAAAGTAATTCATGTCGGATCTCTTTTTATATTGAGAATATAGCATAAGTTAACAAAGTTGGCACTTGGAAATGCAAGTCAAAGTTCATATTAAAGCCATGTAGTGCTCTTTTTATTGAACCCTGGTCTGTTTTATTACCTTTCATTAAATACTGGACAACATCCAGGATATGCCAGTTTGACATTTGTTTGGCCTCTTAAAGCTTCCAGATAAGTGAAATGATTGAAATGCTTTAAAACAAAGGTTAAAAGGGGATTGTGAAAACTGATTATATAAAAAATATGTTTGCATTAAAAGCAGCTGACAGTTGCGTCAGCAGTTCAGTCGGTAGTAATAACATTCTCATCCTCCTAATGGAAAATACACATTCTGGTTAGAATCAGCAGCTGATTGAAGACGGTCATCAATTTAAATGAGTTTGCAGACAGTACGGACGATCCCAAATCATTCATTTTTATGAGGCTTTAAAGCTCAGTGACTAATTTATAATGGGCTGTATGGTTCTAGTAAATAAACAGTGCTTTAGGCATTGCAGTGGCATTAGTCAGTGACCACTGAAAATGGCAGTTTGTGACAAGCTCACATCTGATACAGTTTTTTTTTTTTTACCTTTTAATGTAATCAAACTGTTGGTAAGGTCTCCACAAAGAGGCTTTTGCTTGTGCCATGCAAATGAATTTATATGAAACATCTTTGATCTTGTCATCCAAGCGGGAGAGGATGGAAAGAGATGACATTTCATTACAATACAGATGCAGGGTTTTCAGGGCATATGCATGGGAAAAGGGAGAGAAAGCACAATCTGTTACTTGTCTGCATTATATGACACTGAAATGCAGAGCTGTTGTAGGACATGTGAAAAGCAATTGATTATGCTTGTACTAAAACCTGTTGCTCAGGTAGAAAAATCTACGTGCCTGACTGCAGCACGTAAGCTGTGGCAGTTGGATTTCTGCTCTAATGCTTTTGTAAACTTGCATCCTAACAGAATCTTTTCCTTCTTTAAATCTGATGCAGTTTGTAAAAGGTGCTACTATTTAAATAAGAGCACTCACAGCTTTTTAAACAGAGCTTTCATGCAGAAAACACTTAACATCTCCCGCACAACACACACACAACAGCTAACTCCAGTGGGAAAGGGAGGAAGGAAGGAGGGGAAACAGGGCGTGGAAGGCAGATGCAGTGACATGCTCAATGCTGTCGGTTGTAGGTAGGCGTGAAGTGGTCGAGCGAGTATTTGACTGCATTACTCGCACCTTTGTGGGCTGTTCGAGGGATGTGGTTGTGTGTGTATGCAATTGCTTCAGTCTTTTGCTTGTTAATCCAGCAGGGTAGGTTCTGGTGTTATTCACATTACAGTTGGCTCTCCATAGAATACCATCATGGGAAAAAAATCCAGTAGGGTTTTTTTTTTTTTTTCCTCCTTCAGATTTAAAACCTGTAGCTCCTGCTGAATCACAGGCTGGGTGTGTCAAAGGAAACTGAGCTTGTGAATGTGAATCACCACTATAATTCAGCTCAATAGCAGTTGAAATAAAAGCACTCCTCATGTGGGACTTTAGGACTGAGATTGGTGTTTACCACAGTATATATCAGTCCTTTTACTTGATGTTTTATTTCTTAATGAAAATCAGTATCTCTGTCTTAAATCTTCAGAAACACATTATGACATTATGTGTATACTGAGGTAATTCAGGCAGATGTTTATTAGTGGAAATGAGCTAATGATTTGGGGTTGAACCAAATACCAGGACTAGGGATGGGTATCGAAAACCGGTTCTTGTTGAGAACCGGTTCCCACTGTTTCAATTCCTTGGAATTGTTTGCCATTTTTGCAAACGATTCCCTTATCGATTCCAGTCGCCCC